AAGAAAAATGTTTTATTTATTATTTTTATTTTATGTGTATGAGCGTATTGCCTGCATGTATGTGAGTGCACCCATGCTGTGCAATGCCGCAGAAGTCAGAAGAAGGCGTCAGATTCCCCTGGAACTGGAGTTAAGGTCAGTTCATAGCTGCCATGTGGGTGCTGGGAATCAAACCTGGGTCCTCTGCAAGAGCACTCAGTGCTCTTAACCGCTGAGCCATCTCTCCAGCCCCTCAACATTATTTTTTTAAGGTTTGGTTTTTGGGGGGTTTTTTTTGGTCTTTTTGAGACAGGGTCTCCCTATAACCCCACCTGGCCTGGAACTCACTATGTAGACCAGGCTGCCTTGAACTCACAGAGATCCACCTACCACCACTGCCTCCCAAGTGCTGGGATTAAAGGCATGCACTACCACATCCGACATTTTTAAAAAAGATTTTTAAATTTTTATTTTATGTGTATCAATGTTTGCCTGTGTATGTGCACCACATGCCTGCCTGGTGTGCACTGAAGCCAGAAGAAAGAATTGAATCCCCTGGGACTGGCGTTACAGTTGTGAGCCACCATGTAGGCACTGGGAACTGAACCTGGGTCCTCTGCAAGAGCAGCAAATGCTCTTAACTGCTGAGCCATCTCTTTATTATCAAGTTTACTATATTTTTAAATACAAGACATTCAGTTGAAAGTATATATTCTTTTCTTTTTCTCTCTTTTTTTTCCTCCTTGAGACAGGATCTCATTATGTAGCTCTGGCTAGTCTGGAACTTTCTATGTAAACTAAGCTGCTCTCAAATTCAGAGATCTGCCCACCTTTGTCTCCCAAGTACTGACATTAAAGGCATGTGCCACCATATCCAGCAATATATTCTTTTCTTTTAGAAGCCACATGGAGAATCAGAGCTATATAAATATATTAGCAAATAACAGGTATATTCTGATGAGTTGTAATGTGAATACAATTTTTCTAAACTACACTTCTATGAATACTCATTCACCAAAAATCAGCATCAACATCCTACACACACGCGCGCACGCACACACACACACACACACACACACACACACACACACACAAACCCTACCTACCTACCTACCTACCTACCTACCAACCAACCAACCAGGTGCTTTAAACATAAAGATAAACCAGGCATGGTGGCGCACACCTTTAATCCCAACATTCAGATGGACACAAAGAATCAACAGGGAGAGCTTCTGTAGGGAGATGTGTTCAAGAAAACTGGAAACACTTGACAGTTTAGGGCACTGGATATCTATTGATATGACACTTAGAAAAGAAAAGAAAAGAAAAGAAAAGAAAAGAAAAGAATCTAACCTACTCCCAAGAAGAGATAAACAAGTACATAAATATGTACGATACAAGACAAAGTATAAAAGTATAAGTACCACAAGAGATCTACAGATAAAGCATTACTATCTCACAGAAACACAATCCTTCAAATTGTTTAAAGCAATTTCATAACTTTTTTTGAGACAGGGTCTCATGCATCCCAGGCTGACCTCAAACCTGTTATGTAGCTGCACATGACCTTGAACTTGATGTACCTGCCAGTTTTAGGTGGTGCTAGGGATCAAACCTAGGGCTTCCTGCATGTTAGCTGAATACACTACCAACTGAACTGCATCCTCAGTCCAATTTCATTTCATAACTATTAACTCCCTCTAGGCTCACGACAACAAAATCCAAAAAGGCAGACTTTTTCTAGTATTATAGATGAGGAAACTGAAGCACAAAAAACCGAACATGTTCCAAAATCCCATAGTTAATTGCAGGAAGAATCAGAACTCTTGGTATTACATTTTCTCTGGGGGAGTATTTCAACATATGGCAAGCCTTTCTAAAAGAAGTATTTTGGTATGGCAAGTAATTACTTTCTAGTGAGATACACGCACACGCACACACATACACACACACAGATTTTCATTAACAGGTGCACTTAAGTCAAGACAAAGCAACTGGGAACTATAAATAGTAAAATAAACTTCCACTGGATTTTAACAGAATGAGAAAATAAGATTCCTCTCTAGTAACCTGTGGTTTATTTCTTCTATAATTTTTACTCATATCTAAATAAGATCTTAAAAGCAGTCAGATCCTGAGCCCAGGCAAATATGAATTGGTTCAGCTTATAAATTTACGAAAGGGTATAACAAAACACTTTCCCCAGACTATTAAAAATTAAATTCAGTAGGCCAGGTGTGGTACTGCGTGTCTATAATTCTAACACCAGCTACATAGCAGGTTCCAGGTCAGCAAGTGCTACAGTTTGAACCCATCTACAAAATAAATACATAAATAAACAACTCTTTGGTGGATAATATATGTGACTCAGAATCATCATCAGCTATTGATAGTATATGCTAAACAAATGATCATGTGGAGGCATTTTAAAATCCCAAGCCTGTTGCCCTTGTGCACTGCCATGTTCTGTCTCCATCATCCTCTCACCAGGGTGCACACAAGGAATGTAAATTTCAATAGAATAAGGATATAATTTGGATAGTAAATCTGATGCAGCTGAACATACACTAATACCAAAGATTAAATTACCCATAACGCTACTGTCCAATGTTAACTCTGTTTGAACAGACACTGGCATACAATCTGACACTTCTTGGGCAAATACTTTTCGTAAATATCACTTACTCCCATCCGCTCCTTTTCAAACATGACTATTACAGATCCAATTAATTCTAAGAATGCTGTCTCCTTTCCGTTAAGGTTGACTTCTCAATTATAGTTTCTCAAATCTCTCTCGTCGTCTCCCTCCCTCCCCCGAAAAGGGGTGCAGTCTCCCACTTGGCGCAAGAAAACACCAATAACGAACGGCAAGAGGCGGAGGGAGCTGATCTTTGCCTCTCCACCACGACCAGTCCTTCGCCATTATACCTGAAGTGGGCCAGTTGGAAAGGTGAACTAGTTTGCTCTTCATGCACCCGTCCACCGTTGTCACCCTCCTTAACCCCTTCCACACTTGCCAGACGTCAACTCTGCGGAGGAGTGAGCCCAGGCCGGTACCTGCGCCGGCCCCACCCGGGGACCTCGGGCCGTGCATCCCCCAGCGCTAGCCCCGCAGGCTCCGTACGCCCCTCCCCACAGCACAGACACCTCGGGCCGGCGTCTGCCGGCCTAAGGCCATTCTTCCTCCGAACTCCATAAACCTCCACTCGCGCATCCCGAATCCCCAGCCGCGCCCGACTTGCCCCTAGGTGGCCGAGAGAAAGAGGCCGGGAGGCTGGGACGGGTCCTAACCCGGCTTAGCCCGCGACGCCCCTCGCTGGGCCGAGAAGCCACCCCCGGGGCCAGTGTCCGGGGAGCCCTCGGAAGCTCCGAGACGAGCAGGGCCCGGAGGCCGAGGCTGCAGGCCTACTCACCCGGAGCTGGCGGAGCGTGCGAGCCGACGCGTCCCACGGTCCGAGGAGCAGGGCGCAGCCCCGGCGCGCGACCCTCCGCCCTGCCGTCGCTTGGCTAGGCGAGCTGGGCGCTCACTCCGGCCGCCCAGGCTGCTTCGCCACCTTAGTCGCCATCTTGCCTCAACCCCTCTCCCTCCCCCTCAGGCTGGGCGGCCGCGCTAAGGCGGCTCCGACGTCGGCTCCTCCTCCTTCCGGAGGGTTGGGAGACGATTCCCTCCCCCGGCGGAGCGCTGCTCCTACCTCGGCCGAGCTTCCTGGGTCGCGCGCGCTCGCTAGTTCCTTTCTGGTCTGCGCCCGGCCTCGGTGGCAGTTCCCCTCACAAGTCTACGGGCGGGAGCTGTGCTACCTGGGGCCGGACCGACCGAGGCTGCCATCGCGCACCCGGCCTGGAGCGCCACCGCGAGCCTATGGCTCCCGAGTGCCCGGGGCCTTTCCCCCAGGCGTGGGAAAGGAGAGCGGCTGGGTCTGCGACCCCTCCGCGGCCCTAGCTGCCGGCATGCACCGGACGGGAGAAACCGGAGCTCACGTGCCAAGGGTGCTGGTCTGTTACCCCTTCCTTAGGCACCGAAGTAGCGAGCTAGGCTGATTTCTCCACAGTGTGGTTCCTCACTCTGCAATTCCTGAGAGGTTAAAGCCCTCGGGACCACACTCTCAGCCTCATAACTGCAAAGCCACCATCCTTTTCAGCCCCAAACTGAGGAAAATTGAAGTGCAGTTTAAGTGTTTTGGAAATATTTGATCCGGATAACGGGCTATTTATACGAAAGTACTGAGTTTTAAGAAATGGTTTGGAGACGAGTTGAAGCGAGGAGGGAACTCTTAACTACAAAAAGTTGTTTAAGTGCTTCCCTTTGGCCGGGTGTGGTGACACATGCCTGTAACCCCAGCACTCAGGAAGCAGAGGAATGATGATGACTGCAAGCTGGAGGCCAGCCTTGTCTCTGTGGTGAACCCCAAGGCAGCCAGGGGGTCCATAGAAGCACCCTATCTCAAAAGAACTTTCAAAATGTTTCCTTTTAGACACATGTAAGGAAGCTGTTAGACCACAGAGGACTGGTTTAGCCCTACACTGTAGCCGGTACACTTCGCGGAGGCTTCGAACAGCACAGCACAGCACGTTCGCAGGCCCCGTGTGAGACGCAAATCTCAAACCACAGCGCACTTAACCGCGGAACGCAATTTCAGCGGGTGCAGTTTCCACGCAGGAGCCTGAACCAGCGGTAGCCTTCCTTACTGCGCAGGCGCGGTGCCACTTACCCAGCATGGAAGTAGCGGGTCTCCTGTGTGTGGCTGTGGCTCTCCTGACATGGTGCTTCCTCCGGGTTTGGGACTCCGCAGAACGAAGGATATCTCGGGAGCAGGCCGGCCTGCTGGGAGCCGGAAGCCGAGCCCTGCTGGTGATTGCGCACCCCGACGACGAAGCCATGTTCTTTGCTCCCACGTTGCTAGGCTTGGCCCGTCTGAAGCAGCGGGTGTCCTTGCTCTGCTTCTCCTCAGGTAGGAGGCCGTAGGAAGGTCGCTGGGAGCTGGGTTTGGGAAAGGATTTAGGAACTGACGGATCTCAGGAGACCTCTTCCCGAAGGGTTTTCTGTTAGGGTAGCTTAGTGAACACACCGAAGACCCTTCCTCCGCACTCCTCACAGGCGGGGACAAAGAGAGGCAGCCGGCTTCCCAGGTGGGTTGGGGAACATCTGTTGCGAGCCTTACCGCTTCCCAAGCAGGATTGAGGAACAGAAAAGTGGTTGCTGACACTGGTTCCATTCAGTTCCTGTATTTTCTTTGGAAATTGTCACTGAACTGGGTGTTTTGTTATGTTTTTTTGAATCAGGGTCTCATTGCGGCCTCGGCTGGCCAAGTTTCCTCCTGCCTAGCTTTCCCAGTACTGGCATTACAGGCGTCAAGCCAGAACCTGTACTCGTTATTCAGTACAACTAGTTATTTGGAAAAGAATAGAAAATAATGATCTTACCGTATCGTGCACCAGACAGAACTTGGGCTGTATGGTGTCTGCTCAGTCCATTAAGTTGCACTTCTGCTAGTAGCAAAGGACCTTCTTGCTGCTTTGAAATTATTTTTTTTGCTACAGAGATGCACATGTCAGACCGGAGGAGTTAATAGATAGATAGGTAGAAATTCTGTAAATAGTTTGAGGCTTCATCCCCATCCAACTTTAAGTAAAAGAGCTGTTCAAAGCCGGGCGTGGTGGCGGTGGTGCACGCCTTTAATCCCAGCACTCGGAAGGCAGAGGCAGGCAGACCTTTGTGAGTTCGAGGCCAGCCTGGTCTACATAGTGAGTTCCAAGACAGCTGGGGCTACAGGGAGACCCTGTCTCAAAAAAAAAAAAAAAAAAAAAAGAACTGTTCAAACAGAAAAAAAATCAAGAAAACAAAGTTTGACCATGATGCTTAATTATGATAATAACTGTATAACTATAAATGAATTGAACTGTATACATACAATGTTATGGTATGTCAAATTAAACCTCAATAAAGCTGATTTTTCAAATTGCCAGTGACCTCTTTTCCCATTTGGTTGTCTGTCATTTTTATTTTTTTATACAGATTTTTCACAGATCACATTTTATACATCCTTTTCACTTACCACTACTTTTCATTTGTTTAACATATATTTATTAAACACTTATGCTAGACCTTATTCTATATCTGTTTTGCCAGGACGTATAAAATTGTTGAATTTGGGGGTTCTTTTTTATTTATTTTTATTTTACGTGTATGAATGTTTTTCCTACATGTATGTAAGGGCACCATGTGCATGCAATGCCCAGGGAGACTGGAAGAGGGTGTCTGATCTCCTTAGCCATCATGTGGATACTGGGAACAGAAGAGTAGAGTGCTCTTAACTACTGAGCCATCTCTCCAGCCCCTAGTCTCCTTTTTTTCTCTCTCTCTCTCTTTTTTTTTTAACAGAGTGAATGTAAATTTAAGAAATGTAAGAAAGAACTGCTGAGAGTGGGAGGGGCTCCAAGAAAGGAATACCCTCTTTTTATTTTTGAGACAGGGTCTCATGTAACCCAGGCTGGCCCCAACCTCATGTAGCCAAAGATGATCTTGATTCTAGTTCATGCTAGGCCTCTGCTGGCTAAAGGCCCACCTAGGCTACATTAGACCCTGTCTCAAAAAATAAATAAAAAGTTACAAAGATGGCTTTGAACATCTCATCTTCCTACTAGGATTGCAGGGTATGCCACCACACCCAGTGTTATGAGGTACGTGCTAGGTAAGAACTCTATCCACTAAGCCCTAAGTTGGCTGTGCTTGAACCAGGTATGGGGGCACACAGGAGGATGGTGAGTTTGAAGCCAAGCTGGATACACAGGAAGTTCAAGGCCAGCTTCAGCTACATAGTGAGACCTTGTTTCAAAAAGTAAGGAAAGCCAGCAAGATGGCTCAGCAGGTAAGAGCACCTGCCCCAAACCTGTCAACCTGAGATTGATCCCTAGAGCCCACATGGTAGAAGGAGAAAACTGACTCCCACAAGTTGTCCTCTGACTGCCACATAGATTCCATGGCATGCCAGCATTACCCCCCACCCCACCCCCACATACGTACAATAAATTTTTTAAAATTTTTTTCAGAGGACTGGGGAGTGGGTAAAGGGCTTGCCATGCAAGCATGAGGACCTGGATTTGAATCCCCAGCACCCATGAAACACGGGGCACAGTAGCATACATCTACAATCCCCGTGCTTCCACAGTAGATAGGAGACAGAAGCAGGAGAACCCTAGGAAACTTGCAAGCCAGCTAGCCAACAACCAAGAGACCCTGTCTCATAAAAGGTGGATGGAAGGGACTAACACCCGAGGATGTCCTCTGATCTCCAAACAAACACACATATATTCATGCACATCATATGTATGCACATATAAAGAAGGAAAATTAATGACTTTTTTAAGGCTGTGAATTTAAATCATAATCAAAAACCATATACCAATTTATCTTGTGACTGATAATAGATCATATCACCTTATAGTATTCACTAATATTCTTTTATTTATTTCTTGTTTTCTAAAAAAAAAATCTTCATTTGTTTTGGGGGAGTTTTGATGGTTTTTTGTGTAGTTTTGGTTTTTCAGACTGGGTCTTCCTATAGCTCAAAAGTAACATTTTGTTGCCAGTAAGAGTAAGCCAATTTCTAGGGTTATAGCTCAGCTGTGGGAGCTTATGTAGGATGCTTGAGTCCCTAGGTTCAATCCTAGTACTGAAAAAAGGAATAAGCCATTTTTAATATTTGTTGAAAATTTGGATTTAAGCACTTTTCTCTCATGTTCTATTAAGGATATTATTTGCAAATAGATGTAAATAATACTCTTTTTTCTTTGTTTTTATTTCTATATTTTATACTATAATTATTGGAATTGGATTATATACAAGTTTGCTCCAAGGGCTACAATTAAAGCCTGTATTTGTTTCCAAGATTGTATGGATGTAATGTGTTCTTTAATATTAATATTTAATATTTTCTCAGTTGCTTTTAATGGGTTGTAAAAATTTGGGATAAGAAACCAAATTTTCCCCCTTTCTTTTCCAGTTTTGGGGTTTGAGCCCAAAATCTCAAATGTGCTAGGGAAACACTCTAAAACACCCAGCCTCCCAAAAGTTTCTCTATACTCAGGAAGCAGAGGCAGGCAGATCTCTGTGTGTTCGAGTCCAATCTGGTCTATATAGTGGGTTCCAGGCCAGCCAGCACTACATAATAGGACCCTGTTTTTAAAAATAAATAAATAAAATTCTAATAAAAATATAGGCATTCACTTAGCAGTAACTACTTTTATTATTTTCTCTGAATCCAACTTGCCTTTTTTTTTTTTTTCTTTTTTTTTTTGGTCTGTTTGAGACAGGGTTTCCCTGTAGCCCCAGCTGTCCTGGATTCACTGTGGAGACTATGGAGACCAGGCTGGCCTCGAACTCACAGAGCTCCACCTGCCATTGCCTCCTGAGTGCTGAGATTAAAGGCATGTGCCTCCACACCCTGTTTTTTAAATTCTTAAGTTGCTAAACAGTGTATGGATAAAACATTGTCTCTTACTCAAGGTTATAATATAAAAAGCAAGTTAATGTGTGGTATAATGTATAACTGTAGCCATGGGATGGAGAGAGCACTGTGGTACAAGGTGGAGAAATGCAGTAATCTCTTCAAAAGGTTAGATTGAAGAAGACTCCAAATAGGTTTTCCTTTGATCTGGACTTTAAAAATAGGAGTCAATATGTAGGGAGAGTGCCACATCATTCTAAGCCACACTGAATGCATCAGTAAGTCTTGCACTTGTACAAGTAGTTCATCCTAACTAGATCCTCAGTTGAAAAGAGAAGCAAGAAAAAAAGTTTTTTTAACTGGAGCCTTAATTAATTGTCCTCAGCAAGCTTATGAGAAGATACTGTTTTTTCCATTGTATAAATAGGCATCTGAATCACAGAGTTTAACAAATTAGCCAGCTACAACATAAACGAACTAAGGTCCTGTGGCTCCTCACTGCTCTAGTTATTCCCAGTCTGCCTCTCATTTGTGTACCATGTCAGCTGACAAAATATCTAAGTTGACTGTACATTCAAGAAACGCTAGTTCATCAAGCTTGCTATTTTTTTTAATATTTTATTATTTTTATTTTATGTGTATGAGTGTATTGCCTACATGTATGTGAGTACACCCGTGTCGTGCAATGCCATGGAGGTCAGAAGAGGGCTTTGGATTCCCCTGCAACTGGAGTTAAGGATGATTCATAGCCACCATGTAAGTGCTGGGAATCTAACCCAGGTCCTCTGCAAGAGCAGTCAGTGCTCTTAACCCCCCCAAGATGCTATTTTTTTTTAATTTATTGTATTTATTTTAAGTCAACTTCCTAAGCACTGTATGGCTAAACATTGTCCCTCACTCAACTTTATAATGTAAAAAACAAGTAACTAATACTGTATGGTATAATATATACCTGTAACAATGTGGTAGAGAAAGCACAGCAGATACTTCTGCATGTGCACAGGTAGCGGTCAGAAGATGGAGGTGGTGCTTTCCTACCACAATATGAGCTTGAACTCAGGTTATCATGCTTGACAGCAAGTGCCTTTTGACCCACTGAGCTGTCTCTCTGACTTTAAGCTGATATTTAAAACAAACAAACCTTGGCCTGACAACTTTGAGAAACAGCCAAATATGTTTTCTCTTATTTAGATATTCACAGTCTTCATGAGAACATTAAGATCTTTGTTGTTAAAATTTTTAAATATATTTTTCACTTAGTCTAACATTTCTCAAATTAATCACTGAAATATCTATTGTTTTTGTTTTTTGTTTTTTCAGTCATTTTGAGACAGGGCCCTGTAGCCCCAGATCGCCTGGAACTCATTGTGTAGACCAGGCTGGCCTCAAACTCACAATAATCTGCCTGCCTCTGCCTCCCAAGTGCTAGGATTAAAAGCATGCACCACCTCGCCCAGCTGAAATATCTATTACTATGCACACGTAGACACCAGGATGTCATTGAG